GGAGGAGGCCCAGAGGGGTAGTGAGTGGCCCGAAGCCAGGGGCCCAGCATCCAGTTGCCCTTATATTTTGAAAACCCAGGCTGGTATGTATAAAAGCTCCCATCTACCGGTATTTTCATTTGCCCTGATAAAGCCATGCTCCTCTCCACTCTGTGCCCTGGAAGCTGACCTCAGTGGCTTCCGTGCATTTGGATTCCACTTAGATTTGGCCATAGGAAGGCATCTGTAGGAAGGAGGAGTGGGAAAGGTGATGGTCGCTCTTGCTCCTTTTCTGCTGGTTTGCCACAGGTTGAGTGTGCTCTCTGACTAATACCATTTTTTGGCCAGGCAGCCAGATCTCTCCACCCATTCATTGTTCCAGGAACCCCTGACCTCTTTGGCCAGCCCTAGGGTACTCTACCATCTTTCTATTTTCAGACCTTTGCAAAACAGTTCTTTTATTAAACTCTCAAATTGGAGCATTTTACCTGCCAGCCTCTTGCCTGACACCTATTGGTTTTTTTTTTTAATTAGAGAAAATCTAATTAGAGATTTTATAGTAATTAGAGAAAATCTCTGTGTCAGCCTTCTGTTGCTGGGACAAAATATCTGTGATAAATCAACTTAAAGGAGGAAAGATTTATTTTGGCACGTGATTTCAGGAAGTTCAGTCCATGGTCAGTGTGTTCCACTTGCCTATGTTCAGGTAGAATATCATGGTGGGGCAAAGCTGTTTAGGAAGAGAGAGAGAGAGAGAAAGCGAGAGCTCAGGTACCCCTCAAGGCCTTCTCCCAATGACCTAACTTCTTCCATTAGGCCCCACCTCCTAAAGGTTCTACCACTTTTGGTAACACAGAGCTATGACCAAGCGTTTAGCATATGGGTCTTTGGGGATCGTTAAGATCCAGTCTCTATGAAAGGGAATTAAGAATCCAGACAATCTGTATGACAGGGAGTTATGCCTGAAATTAGGTAGAAGTATCTTTAAAAAAAAAAAAGGAAGAAGTATCTTAGTTTTCTGTGGTGACTATAACAAATGACCACAAACTTGGTGGCTTAAAACAACACAAATTTATTCTCTCATAGTTCTTGAGTTGAAAATCCAAAGTGAGCATCTTGGGCTCGGGGCTTGTTTGGCATGGTCAGGGCTGCATTCCCTCCAAAGGCCCTAGGAGATCATCTGTTCCTTCCCCTAGCCACTTTCGGCTTCTAGTGGCTGCCAGCATTCCTAGCTTGTGGCCACATCGCTGTAGTATCTATCACTGTGACCACATTGTCATCTCTTCTTCTGGGTGTGAAAACTCCCCTTCCTCCCTTTTATGAAGAGTCTTGTTATAGTCACTTTCTCATGACTGGGACAAAATACCCAACACTCACAGTGTAAAGGAGGAGAGGTTTGTTTTGGCTCTTGTTTTAAGTCCATGGTTGATTGGCTGAGTGAGAAACAGCATCGTGGAAAAGTCTGGAAGAGGAAAGCTGCTCATATTACAGATGTCAGAAAGCAGAAGGTGAAGAGAGCAGCTGGGGAGGGAAATTTTCCCTTCTAGGTCATCCCCAGTGACCCACTTCTTCCAATCAGGCCCCACCACCACACAGCAAATTTAGCTGTGGATTCTTTAGTGGATTAATCCATGGATGAATAGAATACCCCCAGGATCCAGTCACCTCCAAAGCCCAGCCTTAGAACATATGAGCCTTTTGAGGGGCATTCTAGGTCTAAACCACACTAGTGCATATGATTGTATTTAGGGACCAGCCAGATAATCTTGGATAATCTCCCCATCTCCAAATCCTTAATTTAATTCCATTAGCAAATAAGGTAACAGATTTACAAATATGATAACATTGTTCCAGAGAAGATAACATTTACAAGTAACATGGATGAAGCCCTGGTATCTTTGAGGTCATTATTCAGCCTGTGGTCGAGTGTGACCGACACACAAGAAAGTTCCTTCAGAACAGTCCAAATGGCACATGTTTATCAACCCAATACTCTTGACAAGAATATTGGCCTGTCTTTGGGGAACACACTTTGTTAAAGATGCCCTTTGATCCCTAGGTTAATTGACTTATCTTTGGTCCTTGCAGCTGGATATCATTGGGATAGTTCTTTTCTCAAGCCAGTTAGCTGATTGGTTACCAGGCAAAGCACTATGGGAGACAAAATGTTGGGCTGTGATGGGGATGTGAAGATAATGGAAGACTTAATCTATGGGCTTTATGATGTGGGAGTCATTTGACTCACAACGTTGAGTTCTATACCCTAAAACCTGGAAGACCCTCTCCTCTTAGCTCAACTGCCTCCCTTCAGAGATGGGATCTGGAAGGGAGAATTTTCTCACCCACACTTGGTAAATGACAGACCCAAGACTAACACAGAAGTCTTGAGACCCAAACTGAGGACTTTTCACACTCCGCCTTCCTATTTCACCTTCTACCAGCCTTCCTCCTTCTAGACTATCTCTGAGTGTTTACTGTAGGTTTATTTCCTGTGTGGTTTCACTTATTGGAAGTTGGTGGACGGTGGTAATGTACCGGATGTCAAGCCTGTGTTACAGCACGGAAGAAGAAACCTTGCCGGGGATTATAGCTGAGACCGTGCTACTATAGCAAGCCACGGAGACAGTGTCAGAAGGCAGATGAAAGCTTCGCCATGAAAATAAGTCACAGAGCCAAGATTGCACTCGGTGAGGAAGCTGATGGATACTCTGCCACAAGCTCCTTGTCTATCACAGACCAGTATGGTGGCCACTGGGACCAAAGAGTGACTGTTGAGAGTATTGCTTCTACTCCTGGAGCGAGCTCACCTCCGCAAGTGCACTATTCATGGGCGAACGGCTCAGAGAAGACATGGTCCTGCTGTTCAGATCTCGTCAAGACACTGCAGTCAGAACTGGAGTCATTAAGAGGGACAACGACATCCCAGAGATCTTCCAGGAGTGCCTGACTTATGAGTACAATTTTTGTGAAAATTAAAAGTGAAAGTGTTTTAGAAGTACTTACTGTGTGCATGGCACAAGATAAAGCACTAAACACAAAAAAATATTTTCTGCTGCTACAGATATTACTCATTTATTTTTTTATTTAGAGAAAACAAAACAGAAAAAAGGGTAGAAATAATACAGAATTTCAAAAAAAAGTGAGAAATCACTAGTTGATAAATTATATATTGTTATCTTAGAAGTAGTTGCTCAAGTCACAAAATCAAAGCATAAAAAGTGGTAGTCAAAACAGTGACAGTACAAACCATTCTGTTTGTTGAACTAACAAAAATTCAGTAATATGGTCATCTATCTTGCACATTTAAACATACATACAGTTAAGATCTTCCTCATTTAATGTCCAAGTTCTGCTCCTGCAAGTAGGGCATTATATGAACTGGTTGCTAAATGAGCAACTGCGTATAGTATGTACATAACAGTATTCAGAACAAAGAAATGGTCAAAGAAAACTCCAGCTTGATGACTTTGCTTTTATTTGCATAACTCTTACATGCACTACTGTAATGTATAATAGTACATAAAACTATAGTACTATACTATTAAGTATAGTCTGCAAAAAGTATAGTGCTGTATAACCAAAGTATTCTGGGCCAGGGACTTAGCTCAGTGGTGTAAGCACTTGCCTGGCAAGTGTAAGGTCATGAGTTTGATCCCTGGTACCAAAATAATACATAAATAAATAAAGTATTCTATTTTTTAAAAAGACACAAAGCTCTATAAAGAAAATTTACAGATGTCCCAAAAACAAGACAGGTCATAAGTCTGAGGGGCAGGTCATAAGTCCAAAGAATGCTCCTGGGGTTGTTAAGTCCAAAGGTCTTTAAATCCTAGAATCATTAGACAGGTAGGTCGCTAAACAAGGGATATCTGTACTATCATAAACCAGCGTAAAGGGACTATTTCAAGTTAGGAGTGTGAAGAATCTAAAGACTTTCTGCCTAAGGAAAACTGGGAGAGACCCAAGTCCGGAGGTTTGAAGAGCTGTTCTGTGCAAGGAAATAAACCAATTTAGAACTTCTTCATTTAATTTTTATTCTTGAGTGCCTGCTGTATTTCTACATACCTTTCCAGGCAGTTGAACAAGCAGCTGTAGACAAGACTAATGAGGCTGTGGGCCTGGTGGATGGGGATAGTTATGGTACAATGTATAAAATTAAAATAACGTCAGACAGACGGAGACAAGATAATAGGGAATTCCAAGGAGTGGGGTGGGGGCCTGGAGCTTCTGCTTGGTTAGTCAGAAGTGCCCTCCCCGAGGTCCTGATGTTTGAGTTGATAAACCCACAGACTGGGGACTACTAGAGAAGGTGGCTCTCAGCTTGAAAGCTGACCTAGATCCTAGAGGCACTAGCAAGGCTGTTGGCCAGCTGCATTCTTTGAGGCTCAGGTGCTGAGTCCTTTCCTAGAGAGAAAGGTGAGTGAGAGATGTGAGGGTTGTGTGCGTAGGCCAGAAATTTTCTATCTGTGATTATTCCAAGCGAAAGTTGACTGGTTCCTGACCAGGAATCTTGAGCAGAGGATCCCAGCAGCATTAGGTTGGATTGAGGCCAGATGAGTCCCGTGACTCATCTGAGCTCCTGGGTCAGTGAGTGCCCTTCGGCCTGCTGGGATCCTTGGATCCTGGGATCTCAGTCAGTCCACCTTGCTCAAGTAGCTGCTTCTCTTCTGGCATTGGTCATCTGCCCCACAGGGTCCTGGATGTAGGATCAAAATGCTTCTGTGGAGTGTACAGCTCTCCCTTCTGCCTGCATCTTTTTAGATCCCAACTGCTAAAGAAAATGGTGATGGTATATAGAGACAAGTGCATCAAAAAGTTGAACAGAAATAAAAGGGAAGGAAATTGAAAATGTCCAAAGCTACGCCTATGCAATCCAAATCCTTGTCTGAAGTGCCCCTCTCAGGGACCCAGCACTCCCTACTGATCTCTGCAGGTGCCACACTTGGCAGGGCCTGGTGTCTTTATTTTCTTCCATTCTCACTGCCATGCTCATGGGTGACCTGGGTTTTTTTCATCCATAGGCACAGAATCTCCCCAGTGCGATTCCAGCACTTCTCAGCAGGAAGGTAGGTCACAAGTGGCCCCATGTTTTGTTCTACCTCTGCTTATTGTTGCTTCTGTTTAACCTGCTTCAGGCTGAAAGCTGTAGTGGTGGCTTTTTCTTGTAGCTTGGCAGCTCTCTCTGGCTCACGAATGCCCTGGAATAAATAATTAAAATCTTGGCATGACCTCTAAGGCCTGTGTTGAGCCTTGCCTCTCTTTGGAGACCTCCTCTGAATGTTTACTGTTTTTATAGGAGTTTCAGGCTCCATAGATCCCACTTATTTTGCCTAGCCAGAGACAGTGGCATTTTAGAAAACTCATGGTATTTTTTGCATATAATGAGCCATGTGTACTGATTTTAATTCCAAAAGCTTACAAATTAAAAGCTTCCTTGAACCCAGGCCCTCAGGATTCTTGCCAGCCTTCTGGGTTTTCTGTCTGTTCTGTTGTTTCTCAGTGGAATGACTTAGCTGAAACCTGCTGGGTTAATGAAGGGAAAATCAGGTTGTTGTAAATGAACCCCTTCCTTGGGACCAACGAAGTGGAATCAGATGGTGTTTAAAGAGACAAAAGGGCTGGGCACGGTGGCACATGCCTGCAATCCCAGAATTTGGGGATGCTAAGGCAGGAGGAGGACTGCAAGTCCAAGTCTACCTGGGCCATTTGGCAAGACTGTGCCTGAAAATAAAAATAAAAAAGAGCTAGGATGGAGCTCAGCAGTAGAACACCCTGGATTCAGTGCCCAGCACCACTAAGAAACAAATGCAAAAACAAACCTGCAAAGGCTGACCCAGGTGACTACTGCAAAAGTAAGACCCCAAAAAGTACTAAGGATTGGGGCTGAGGATTTAGCTCAGCGGCATAAGTGCCTGCCTTGCAAGCAGGCAGTCCTGAGTTCGATCCCTGGTACTGATAAAAAAAAAAAAAGTACTAAGGGTTAACAAACCCAGTCTAAGATCAGGATGTTTCCATTAGAGGCAGGTTTGTCTCTGAAAACAGCGTTGGGAGCACACACACAAAAGCATTGCCTGTTGAAAAAGAAAATCAATAAAAAGTGGACAGCGGGCACACCCTCCCTGAGCCACCCTGTAGGAACAGAAATGAAGGTAAAGGAAGAAGAAAGAAGCAGACAGGAGTGCTTTTAGTCCTCCCTCTGACTCTGCAGACCGACTCCTAAGTCCCGGACTTGACAGCTGTGTGCGTGAGCAGAGCAGGGTCACCCAGCTGTGCCTGGAAACTGCTGAGCTGCTGCAGGCGACGTTGCATCACCGTGGAACAAGGAACAAAGGCTCTTTTTTGGTTTTTTTCTGAACAGACTGTCATTACTTGCACAGTTAGTTAGAAAACTCCCTCACACTGGCTGGTAGACGGGTAGGAGAATTTCTGTGATTTAGCTTTAGGCGAGAGGCATTTGGCCAGAAACCTGCACTGAACGCTTGCTTACCTCGCCAGTAAGCATGTGACTTTCACCTGACTTCACTCTCTGTCCCGAGGGTTCCCAGGCCAGAAACAAGGTCCTGGTTTTGGCTGTGGTCATGTCCACTCTTCAGAGCAAACGGAGAGCAAATTCAGAGGCGGATCGCCAAAGGTAATTCCTCGCTCTGACACTGAGTACAAATGAGGTGGTTTTTAAAGTGAAATGGTTTTTTCCTAGTGAAAATAACATGTATAATCTTTAGGTTGGATTCAGTGTAAATGAAGGAGCTAGTGTTTGGTGGGGACATCTGAGTGACGTTCTGCTCCTTGTTGCTTCTGGAATTGTGGGCAAAGCTAGTGTCCCCAGCACCAACGCTGCTTACAGCATTCGTGTGACAGATGGAACCGGACGGCCTCTGCATGGCCTCTCTCACTGGGCTCTGACTCTGTTTCAGCTTTAACTTTTTATGTTCTTGGAAAACAGTAAAGCAAGAGAGTGAGATGGAGTGAGGCTGTGAGACGGCAGCGGACAGTGGCTAGGCTGGCGTGGAGCCCTGGCACAGGAGAGGAGAGCTCGAACACTATGCCTGAGGAACTGCGATGGGGACGGGGTTGCTTGCGGAAGGCTGGGGAGGACTTGTGCCCACTTCAGCTGGAGCCGAGCTGGCGCCTGAGAAGTGTTGGGGTTCAGGCTCCTCCTGAGCATAGCGCTCTCTCTATAGGGTGGGGTGGGCCAATTGCTGGCAGAGCTGCGATTTATCAGGCCTGGTGACTGGGGTGACAAAATAATGGAACTGTTTTTCTTCCAATTGACTAATGAGAATATTGATTAGGATTTGAATTGGCTGAATCTTATAGAACTTGAAAATAATAGAAGGCAAATAGTGGATTGTTTCTCACCACAAGGGAATCTTTCGGTGGGCAGTGGAGCGCCAGCTGGGGACTCTGTAGTGTCAGGGAATGAGGCTCTATCAACCCTGGCATGTGGCTTCCACAAGGCTGCTTGAATTCAGCCATCACGTCAGCATTCCAGCCAGCAGGGAAAAGAGAGGAACAAACCAGGACTTAACTCCTCCTTCTTCATTAGTGATACATTCCAGAAATTGAACTTGATGTTTCTGTTTTCATCTCACTGGTTAACAGTTAGCTACATGGTCACCTGGGTGAAACAAAGATTGGAAAATGTAGCTTTTGATCATAATAGCTATGTGTCTAGCTAACCAATTATGGTTATTTGTGTTGTTTGATTTACTAAGAGGGAGGTAACAGATATGAGGTAATACTTTCCAGAAAAATTGAGTATGGTTTGTAGCATGTAATGTTTGTATTCCTTGTGGGGAATTGGTACCCGGACTAACATATCCTAATTCCCTTTTCCATACTCTTCCTTTCTCCTCCCTTCTTCCCTCTGTTTCTCAATCCCTTTCCCTTTTGAGAGAGATCTATCTCCCTACCTCCTGTTATCTCTCTTTTATTTTGTTCTTTACTTATATGTGGGTTTCTCATTAAGAAAACCATGTGATATTTAAGTCTGACTTACTTAGTATTATGGTCTTCTTTTTCTACAAATGACTCAGATTTATCTTTAAGGCAGAATAGTGCTCCGTTGTATATAAATATCACATTTGCTTTATCCATTCATCTGCTGAGGTACGTGTGGACCACTACCAGATTTAGCACAATATTATGAATTGTGCTGCTTTAAAGGTGAGTGTGACTGTATCACTATAATATGATGCCTTTGACTCTTCCCAGAAGATGGCTAGTGGAGGAACAAAAGCAAGGTCAAATGGGATTTCTACTTCTAGTTTTTTGAGGAATCTCTATACTGACTCTAAAGAGATTTATATTTCCACAAACAATATGGAAAGGTTCCTTTTTCCCTGTAGCCTTGCCAGCATTTGTTATTTTCTTTTTTCTTTTTTGTCTTTTTGAGACAGGGTCTCTCTATACAGTTCAGGCTAGCCATAAACCCACATTGTAGCCCACGCTGGTCTCAAACTCACAACGATTCTCCTGCCTCAGCCTCTCAAATGCTGGGATTACAGGCATGTGCCACCATGCCCAGTTTATTATTTGAATTCCTGATGATAGATTCCTTGTAAGGTAAAATATAATCATAGTATTATTTTAATTTGCATTATTCTATAATGGCCAGTAATGCAGGAACATTTCCTCATGTACTTATTGGCCATTTGGACTTCTGTGAAGCATCTATTCACTTCAGGTGCCCATTTTTTAATTGAGTCTTTTATTGTGAGAAGGGCCTAATTTTTTTAGCTCTTTGTACATTTTAGATATTAGTCCTCCATCTTTCTCATTCTGTAGGTTGTCTTTTCACTGTGTTGGCTGGGTTTCTGTTGTTTGGTTTTGTTCTGTTGCATAGAACCTTTTTCATCTGATATGAGCCTGTCTGTTGATTCTTAATACTCTTTCCTGTGCACCCTGGTTCTTTTCAGAAAGTCCTTGCCTATGCCTGTAACTTCAAGACAAACTTCTAGTTTGTCTTCCTTCAGGTTTAGTGTTGCTATTTTAACATTTAATTCTTCGATCCATTTTAATTTTAGTTTAGTACATTGTGAAAGATATAGGTCCAGATTCGATCTTTTGCATTTGGCAAGCCTTAAGCTTTTTAATGATCTTGAAATGGAAAGAGTAGCCCAAAGTCATTGCTGGAAGTGAACATTACCCTGACTCCAAATACAGACAAGAGAACCATAGATCAATATCTTTCATGCATACTGATACAAAAATCCTCAAGAAAACACTAGCAAAGAGAATGCAACAAATTATTGAAAAGATCATAAATCATGATCAAGCAGGCTTCATTCCAGGGATACAGGGGTGGTTCCATATATGCAAATCAATAAATGTAAGACACCACATAAACAGAACCAAAGATCAAAACCACAAAGTCATCTCAACAGATGAAAAAAAAAAAGCTTTGAAAAAAAAGCCAGCATTCTTTCATGATAAAAACTTTGAAGAAAATAGGTATAAGAGAAAATAAAGGCAAGCATGGTGGTACATGCTGGTAATCCCAGGACTCAGGAGGCTGAGGCAGGAGGATCATTGTGAGTTCAAGATCAGCCTGAGCTACAAAGTGAGCTCAGGCCCGATCTGAACTGCATAGCAAGACCCTGTTTCAAAAAGACCAAAAAAAAAAAAAAAAAAAAAAGTATAGAAACGTTTACCTCAGATAAAAGCCATATATGACAAACCTACCACCAATATCATATTACATGGGAAACACCAAAGCTTTCTGTTTAAAATCAGTAACAACAACAACATCAAAAAAATCAGTAACAAGACAATGATGTGCACTATCATGACTTCTGTTCAACGTAGTTCTTGAACCATTAGCAATAGTGATTATGCAATAAAAAGAAGTGAAAGGATATGTATAGGAAAAGAAGTAAAATTATCATTGTTTGTAAACATCATGATCATCTACATAGAAGATCTAAAAAAAAATCCATCAGAAAACTCAAAATAACCAAATTCAGTAATATCCAGCATACAAAGTCAACACAAAAAAACCCATACTAAAGTGAACTCAGGGAGAATGAGGTTAGAAAAAAATACTATTCACAATAACACCAAGAAAAATTAAATATTTAATTTAATATTTATTTAATTTCCTAGTTAAATATTTAGGAATTAATCTAAGTAAGTGAAAGTCTTTTATAATGAAAAGCACAACACTCTGAAAAAGGAAGTGAGAAAGGACATCAGAAAATGGAAGGATAGCCAGTGACAATGGAACAGCCCTGTAATCCCAGCACTTGGGAGGCTGAAGCAGGAGAATCATTGCAATTTCGAGATCAGCCTTGGCTACAAAGTGGGCTCAAGGCATAGTGAGACCCCGTCCCAAAAAGAAAAGAAAAATAAAGAAACAAAATGGAAAGATATTTCCTGTTCCTGGACAGGCAGAACCAAGATAGTCATAATGGTCATACTTTGAAAATTGACCTACAGATTTAATGCAATCCCAATAAAAATTGTGACAGCATTCTCCACAAAACTGGGAAAAACAATCCTAAAATTTGTATGGAACCAGAAGAGACCCAGAATAGCAAAAGCAATGCTGGGTAAAAATAGCAAAGCTGTTGTCATCACAATCCCAGATTTGAAGTTATATTACAAAGGTACTGTGATTAGAACAGCATGGTGCTGGCACAAAAACAGACACAGTAATGGAACAGAATAAAGGATGCAGAAACAAACCCAGACACATTTAACTATTTTGTCTTTGACAGTGGGGCCAAAAAATACACTGGAGAAAAGATAGTCTTTTAATAAGTGATACAATGAGAACTGGCTTGCCAAATGCAAAAGATTGAATCTGGACCTATATCTTTCCAATGTACTAAACTAAAATAAAAATAGATCAAAGAATTAAATGTTAAAATAGTTAACACTCAACTTGCTGGAAGACAAAATAGAGCTCTTGAAGTTATAGGCATAGGCAAGGACTTTCTGAAAAGACCCAGGTTGCACAGGAAAGAGTATCAAGAATCAAGAGATGGGATCATATCAGATGAAAAAGGTTCTATGCAGCAGAACAAAACCAAACAACAGAAACCTAACCAACACAGTGAAAAGACAACCTACAGAATGGCAAAAAAATTTTTTACCAGTTATTCATCAGACAGGGGATTAATATCTAGAATATGCAAAGAACTGAAAAATTAGACCCTTCCCAAAGTAAAGGACCCAATCAAAAAATGGGCACCTGAAATGAATAGACACCTCACAGAAGAAGTACAAATGGCCAATAAATACATGAAGAAATGCTCATGTATTAAAGCTTAAGCCTTAAGCTTTAGGAGTATTAAAAAAGCGGAAGGAGATTGGTGTTAGAACTTCCTGAAGCTTTTGTAGAACTCAGTAGTGAAGCCATCAGGACCAGCTTTTCTTAGTTGGTAGGTTATGTAGTACTGATTTAATTTCATCGCCTGTTACTGGAGTATTTCTTTGCCTTTTTGGTCCGATTTTGGTAATTCATATACAGTATTTCCAGGATTCTATTAATCTCTTCTGAATTCTCCAATTTATTGATGCACAGTGTTATGGGTTAAGAACTGGTAGTCAACTTAACGCCAGCTGGATTACATCAGCATGGCACTGAGCGAAGATGTTCCACCTGAGGAAAGTTGCCAGGATAAATAG